CTCACAAAGTAGAATTTTTGCTCAGAGGGCTCCACAGCTTAGTGGGAACATTGCTCCCCTCCTGAGCATTGTTCCCTCTAAGCCGAGTGCGTGTGAGCTAGCTCACAGTTTTTTAGCCTCCCGCAGACACATTTTTTTAGGTCTTAGCTCAGGAAGGGACCTTTGCCCACTGCTGGTGGCGTTGTGTTCATGTAAAGTAGTTCTGGCATGATGTCCTGGCCCAGTGGTGGCGAACCTATGGCACGGGGGCCAGAGGCGGCCCTCAGAGCCCTCTCCGTGGGCACGCGTTCCATCGCCCCAGCCAGGCCCAGACCACCATTAAAATGTGGAATTCTCTGCCAAATAATTTTACGTCAATGAAAGCATTTGGGATTGCTTCCCTTGCTTTGTTTGGATCATCTTAAGTTAAACTGAAACCTCAGTATTCAGGTTTAATTGCCGTGTTGGCACTTTGCGATAAATAAGTGGGTTTCGGGTCGCCGTTTAGGCACCCGGTCTCTAAAAGGTTCGCCATCACTGCTCTAAGCTGAGTGAGTGGGAGCTAGCTCACAGTTTTTTAGCCTCCGGCTCACACATTTTTGACTTAGCTCAGGAAGGGATGGGGCTCCAAAGCAAACTGATTTACACAGTAGGCCAATCGCCCGCTCACAACTTTAATGCCAGTCGCTCCCAAAGTCGAAGTTTTGCTCACAAGACTCCACAGCTTGGAGGGAGCATTGGTCACTGCGTGTGTGTGTGTGGGGGGGAGGTCTTTGTGGATTTCCTGGCATTGCGCAGGAGGTTGGACTAGATGACCCTGGAGGTCCCTTCCACCTCTACGATTCTAGGGTGTTTTCCATCATCTCCGCCCTGCTCCTTTGAAGGGGAGGTTGCATTTCGGACCTTTGGCGTGCAAAGCCGGATACTCCCCCGCGGGACTGAGCCGTGACCCTTTTCCCTCTCGAGCATATGGAGCAGAGGTCCATCAGTGGCTATTAGCCACAAGGGATAGATAGGGGCTCTGGGGCAAGGGATGCTCTGTCTTCTTGGTGCTTGGGGGGGGGGCAACAGTGGGAGGGCTTCTAATGTCCTGGCCCCACTGGTAAACCTCCTGATGGCAGCTGGTATTTCTGGCCACTGTGTGACACAGAGTGTTGGGCAGGGTTCCCTCTAAGCTGAGTTAGTGTGAGCTAGCTCACAGTTTTTCAGCCTCCGGCTCAGCCATTTTTGTCTCTGCTCAGGAAGGATGGCTCCAGAGCAAACTGATTCATGCAGCAGCCAAATCGCTCACTCACAACTTGAATGCCAGGAGCTCACAAAGTAGAAATTTTGCTCACAAGACTTCACGGCTTAGAGGGAACACTGGTATTGGGCTGGATGGGCCTTTGGCCTGATCCAACATTGGCGTCTCTTATGTTCTCATGTTCTTAACGCTCCCTCTCAGCTGCGGAGTCCTGTGAGCAAAAAGAGTTCTGTGTTGAGAGCTGCCGGCATTGAGGTTGTGAGTGGGCGACTGGGCTGCTGCATCAATCCGTTTGCTCTGGAGCCACCGAAGCCCCTGGCCCCAAGCCCAACCCCCTGCCCACTCCCACTCCCCCAGCTGCGGATACAGTCCTTGATGGAGGCGTTCTCGATCTGCTGCAGCTCCAGCTCCACCTGCTTGGAGTACTGCCTCAGGTCCACCCCCTGCAAGGCCAAAGGGAGGGAGGAGGGGGGTCACCGAGGCCCCAGCCAAGCACCCCGCCCCCCCGCCCCCGCAGCTCCT